CGCGCGCGCGCACACACACACACTCGGCGCACCTCTGCATTCAATTTGAAATGCAGTGTATGCTTTTTTTGGTTCAATTTGGCTTGATTCAAAATCGCGCGATTTTTTCGCGGTACAAATCACCGTTTCCACATTCGGAATATTAGACTGAGTCTGAGTGGTGTGCAGGTTTTTCAGTCGTTTTGTGTTTTTATGGCTCCGTGTTCAATGGATAATGGCTTTGTTAAACCAAGTTTGTTGCTGCAGAGAGCCACAAATGATTGGCAAGGCCGTTCACATACTACACAGATGCGCGCACGCGCATTCAACGCCAGCAGCAATAACAACGAAAAATTACACAATTCTTTTGATGAAATGTTTTTCAAATTGATTTTAAGTGGGTTTTAATTCAAATGAAAATTGTTTTAGATTGATTGAATCGAAAATTAAAAACACGCCAAATGAAAGATTGTTGATATTGATTAAAAACGAAATGAATTCAATTCAACTAAAATTTGTATGCGTTGAACAAAATACCTAATATTGATACCAGTTCGACGATTTAAAAAAAAAATCAAAATAGAGAAAGACGTTTGCATTACAATCAAAAACCAGAAATGTTATTCATCTCACACACAAAAACTTCTTTCATTCACATTCCATGCTGTACGTGAGACATACCTGCACATATTTCCGCAAACCGTTATCTCCATTAATTCGACCAAATTCCCGAAATCAACCGATCGAACACAAACGGAAAACAAGTACAAAACATGACTGTGTAAATATCACGGTTATTAAGAACTCTTCCCAATAATACCGAACATTCATCAAAATCAACAAAAGGCCAATTATAACCATATCTAATAATATGTAGTGTGCTTAACCCTCTAATGCATACAACCGCCTCTAGACGGGCAACATTTGAACGCCTGTAGAACGTAAACCGTACATCGAATCACCGTCCGTATGCGAACGGTGCAGTGTGACTGCTTCTTCTTCTTAACTAACACATCTATATATTTAAGTCGCTATATTGGTTATAATGTTCACAAATGGCACTCAAAAAAAGTACCAGTACTCCCAGCCCTGGGAAAAATTAATGCATTAGAGGGTTAACAGTCGAATTTATCTAATGGAGAGGAGGGAAAGTTCATACAATTAAGCTAGCAAAAAAACTGACCTTTTCAATGATCATGTGCGTGCCGAGGTTTTCATACAAACTTCTCATGTAGACGATCCGAAACAGGCAAAAATCGAAAAAAAAGTTTAAATTTTTTTTTTCCATTCTGGAACAGTATTTCATGTGCCCAATCCATTGGTGTTATCACCACATCGAAATTCGCATTCCTTATCAATAAAATTATCATGCATTCCTAGAACCGAAACACCATCCAACAAGTATTTACAAACGAAACACCAGCGCAAACGTTTTTCAAAGTGAATCATGGAAAACACATTTTATTGAAATGTAACACGCGGTGTTTCACTTCGAAAAATTCTCTGCCGATGTTACACTTTAAAAAAATCTTTCTTTGGTATTTCATTTAAATATACTGTGGAAAAATGTCTTGTTTTCAATCTCACCCATTCATGTAGTCTTTCTGTTCGGTCACCACACACAGTGAACACTGAAAATAGTCAAAACTCCAGATGCAAAACCAGTTTTTCTATTGATAAACTGGACATTTCACACACTTCACTAGAATACGATTTGTTTTGATGTTTCTTCAATCCAAGCATTCGAAATGCGATACAATTCTCACGTAGAAATACGCTCACATACAACAGCTAGAATCATAAAGAACGAAAACGATAAAAGAAAATTTATGAAATTGAAAATGAACAAAAACAACGTTAGACAAAAGTAAAGAAAACGAAAGTCATTTGGATGTGGCTCCTAACCGGAGTAGATTGGAGAATATGTATCACAATTCAAATGGCGTATTCGAATCAAAAGACATGTAAATGTTCAAACGACTATTTATTCAGATACACGACCGTCCATCATATTTCAATGGACCTTAAAAAATATAATACGTACATTGTTCACCACTTTTCTGTACACATCAGCGGACCCATGTGCCATTCAATGGAATGGAAAGATAGAACAATAGAAGACACGAAAATTGGTTCTTCAATCGAACACACTCAAATTTCTTTGTGTAAAAAAAACTTTAATTTAAAAAGAAGTACAGCTGAAATTACAGCTTTCCTGTTTTGAAAAATCATAGCAGTACCAACGAAACGAACGGTACCGGTTCAACTTCCTTCACCCATTATATATTACTTCCATTTGATTATTAACTATTTTTCAATTTTCCAAATTGCAAAGCTTCACTCGTTTTTTCTTCCCTCCATTTGCGCACACCTCACTCATAAAGACAACAATGTAGCGTACGTGTTTATTATACAGATTGATTGTGTGTCTTAATTCAATTTTGTTTGTCTATAAATTGCTGTGTGTGTGGATTTTTTTTCAAGCTGCTTGCTGCGACCCAAAAGTGTTAAAGAAGAAGAAAAAACACGGTGAAAAGTTCACAAACCCAGAGATACATGGTCTGTTGTTGATGTGTTACTTGACATATTTTGTGACACACTCGGGTCAAAAGAGATGAATGCTTTTTCGGAATGAAATCATTGTCGAGCGGATGAAATGTTTTTTGCACCGTAGAATATATATAGAAATTCTCGATATTTCGCTCGGAGCATTGTTACCCAAGGAATGAACATCAAACGGAAAGGTTTCATTTGAACTATAATAAATTTTCTCCCAACTTGTCTGAAGAAGAAGAAGACGAAGACAAAAGAGTGCTGAGTTCAGCGCATAGCAAGCTAATTTGGCAACTGAACTATTCAATTCAATGTGTTGTGCACAGATTTTGCCGTATGTCAGCGTCAGTAGTGTGTACCTAGAGCAACATTGCGCCAACACTACTTTTGACACACTGTATGTGTGTGTGTGTGTGTGTATGAGTATCACAGAGAGTTCAATGGAATGTGCGCTAAGACTGAGAGTTGAAATCTCTCTCAGTGAATGAAGATGAAAGACGAACAACGAAATAGCAACACCAACAAAACACACGCTGTGTTACACATCGACTGTGAACGCATTGTTTTCGGCTGATGATTTTTGATTGTTTACATTCATGTTGTTGTTTCTTAGTTCGCGCTCTCGCGACGAATTTTCTTATTAACCTACTGAGCGAGAGCGAGAGCGCAAAAGAAACACAAAGCAACAGCAGACCCGAACCAACGTAAAACTGTGCTCATTCTAATGTGCTTTTCTTGTGCACGCAAACAGATTCACCGTCGTCACTATGGTGCGCGCTGGATCGTAATAAGCGATCTAAAGTGTTTGGCACTTCCGTTTACTGCGATTTGAATTGGCATCTTCAAAATGATTTCTCGAATTCTTCATTTTTTGTTCCCGCGACACACTGGCTTCATTCAACTGAGGTGGAATGAAAAGAAGTGCTTTAGAAATCAAATATATGTTTAAATTGCGAAGATTGAAAGCAATCTAATCACTGCAACACGAATAAACCTACCAAGTAATTGTTCATTTCATTGTCAGTTAAATCGAATAACAAATACAAATCATTATTTTGTTGTTGTTGTTTGCGGGCGCTAATGATATGAACTCATATCGGCCAAGTATGATATGGAATTCATATAGAATCAAAAATCGATGGAAAAGTCATCGAAACCATTTTTATTCACTGTCTCTCGCACACACGGAAAATTAGTTTAACCCAATTTTTCGATCACGAACCAATCTTTTCCGTTTGATGACTCTTCAAGTACATCTGGGCGATCATTAAGCCGAACATTTCTTTCAGATAGATTATTATTTGGCAAAAAAATATATATATGGCTTAACATTCTAATGGCACAACGACGATTTGCCGACATTCTTTCAATTATTTTCACATTGACGGAATTTCGACAGTAGAAATTCCGTTCGCTACGCGTGAATGTCAAATTTCACTATCTCTCTGGAGAGAATGAATTTTATAATTTAGCTTAAAAAAAACTGTTTTTGATTTTGCGAACTGCGAAACAAATATTTATTTCGTCGAATTTTATACTGTTTTTGACTCTTGTATTAGAATACATTCGCACCAAACATTCAGCTTGTATAAAAAAGTTAACGATATAAAGACATAATTCCCCGATAAGTATGAAAATTTCGTGGAAAAAGAAAACAATGAATCTCACTCCCTATTAATTAATGGAAAAAGCACATACACACACACACACACACAACCTAGCTCAAATGCGATTTGACAAGTTGATTGGAAGCGAGAGATTTCATGACAAACGCAATTTAATAGAACATGAAGAGTGCAATGTATGAAAAACATGTGCAAGCTGAGTGCCTTGTCACTATCACCTAAGTACAACAATATATTCATTTACGTTGATTTGAAATTGGCGAGAGTAGGAGAACGAAAGGCAAAACAATATAATATGATAGCGAAACAACAAAAATGGTTCTGTGTTCTTTGTATGTTTTGTGTGTGTGTTTTTTTTTTTAATTTTATTTGTGTTCAAATCGAACAAAGGAAACGTGCACATTTCTAGATAAGATTAGTATTCGTACGTACGTATGAATGTGTCTATTTTTTTCTTTCTTTCTTTCTCTCGCTGGTGAATGTGCGCAGCGGTTTTATGTATATAATTAAAATTAAAATGCACATCCATAAGTGCGCACGCATCACATTTCTTTTTATCGTTAATTAATTTGAGCATATGAGCGTGAACGGAAAAATTACGGAACATGAATAACTAAAAGAGAATTATCTGCATCAATATGTACGCAAAGTGTATTGAAAAGTATTTTGAAATTAAATATTTATGCTGTGCGTTAAGTGTGGAGAATTGCATGCTGCGGCCTTAATTTCGCCACACCCAATCAATGATTGAATCATATATGTGTTTTTCTTTGCTTTAACAAAAAAGAAAATTAGGTTTCTAACGAATTTTTTTCTCTCTCTCTCCCCCTTGATTGATCGTAGGATCGCGAGGAGCAGGCCCGTTTGGAGATGAAGCATCGAAAAGAAGAGGATGATTTATATAGAAAATTTGCACGCAAAAGGGAAGATGAAGAGCGAAAAATCACCAGCGAATTGCAAGACGAATGGGAACGTGAACTAGAACGATTGGCACATAAATTTGAAAAAGAGCTGGCCACATCACGCCGAAATCGTGAAGACCAAAACATTTTGACACTGCGACACGAACAGCAAAAAGAAGATTTGGAAAAGAATATGACATTGCGAAAAACGAAAAAGAAGGAAAGCCTCACGCGTAAGATGCTCGAGCACGAACGATCGGAAACGGCCGCGTTGGTTGATCGACAATCAAGTGAAATGTTGGAATTGATTAGCGCTCGTCGCAGTGAATTCATGCAAAATGAAAGCATTTTCCTGGACGATGAATTTAATGAGACAACACAACCGTTGATGAGCTATCCAAGTGTGGCGCCAGCACCACAACCGCCAGCCGTCAGCAAATTCCAAATCTACACCGATCCAATTGAATTTGAAGAAGTCGATCGAATTGCAATATCAGTAAGTTCATTCACCGTTGTCTAATCATTTCTTCTTTTTTTACTTTCTTCTAAATTGAAATTGAAACTAAAATGGGTAACAAAAATAATTGCCAGGTTGCCCAAGAGGATCAAAAGACATTCACCGATTTGGTGCGACAATTGGTCGGACGATGCACATCAGATATTGAGAAGGCTCGAACCATTTTCCGTTGGATAACCGTGAAAAATCTTAACACAATGCACTTTGATGATGATTTAAGAGGCGACACACCAATGGGCCTCTTGCGTGGCATCAAATTTGGCACAGAAAGTTACCACGTCTTATTCAAGCGATTGTGCAGGTAAATACTTTGCAAAATCAAATACTACGAAAATCCAATATTGTCCATTTCTCTTCCTCTTCCACCAGTTATGCCGGCTTACATTGTGTGGTAATCAAAGGATATTCGAAAAGTGCTGGCTATCAGCCGGGCATTAAATTCCATGATTCACGCTTCCGAAACTCATGGAATGCCGTTTATGTGGCTGGTGCATGGCGTTTTGTGCAGTGCAATTGGGGCGCACGTCATTTGGTCAATGCAAAAGAGGCACCGAAATCGGGTCGCGGCAAAAATGACAGTTTACGCTACGAATACGATGATCATTACTTCTTAACCGATCCACGTGAATTCATCTACGAATTCTATCCACTGCAAAAAGAATGGCAATTACTCAAACGTCCAATCACACTGACCGAATTTGAAAATTTACCATTTGTTCGATCGCTATTCTTTCGCTATGGTTTGCATTTTGCTGACGAAGGCTATGGCTCAGTTGTTTATACCGATGACACTGGTGCAGCCACCGTACAAATTGCAATGCCAAGTGATATGCAAGGCTGTCTGATATTCCACTACAATTTGAAATTCTATGACAGTGACGAAGATTCATATGACGCCGTTTCACTGAAGCGTTTTGTCATGCAATCGGTCATTGGGAACATTGTTACGTTCCGCGTGCACGCACCATGCTCTGGTTCATTCTTACTAGACATTTTCGCAAATGCAGTCACACCACAAGAATACTTAACCGGCGAACCAATGAAGTTCAAATCCGTTTGTAAATTCAAGGTGAGATTCACTCATAGAAATGATGAGCAATTCTTGCTTTTGCTTTCCGCCAAAGGAAAACAAATCCAACTTCAATTTTTTTTTTTTCACACGAAAATTTACGAAAATTGTTCTGCTTGTAGATTTGCTGTGAGGAGTTGCAAACGGTAATGGTTCCGTTGCCAGACTGCGCCAGCGGTGAATGGGGACCGACGAAAGCAACACGACTTTTCGGACTCATTCCAATCACACATCAAGTAAGTTTCCATCAATTTCGCTCATTCGACTGCGCGTTTTTGCTAATACGATTTTCCATTTTCCTTGTTCTGTTTTCTCTTCTTCAGGGTCCATTGATATTTGCCGGTCGTATAATCGAATTGCAATTCCGAATGTCACGACCATTAACCGATTTTATGGCAACACTGCACAAAAATGGAATCGAAGAGAAAAAACTATCGAAATATGTAACACACAATGTGCTCGATGACATTGTTACATTTAGCATCAAGTAAGTGCCAGCAATTTGAGTCCCTTTGACGTGTCAAATTGAGGACTCATCTTTGATTATCGTTTACACATACAATCAGTTCAATTGAGTGTATTCGATAAAATGTTCAATTTGATTTCAATCTCCAATAATGATTCAAAACTCGTTTCTCAGTTTCCCCGAGGAAGGTCAATATGGACTGGACATTTACACCCGCGAGGTTGGCAGTCATTCTCATCAAAATAATCATTCATCTAGTGAAAAGCACTTGTTAACGCATTGTTGTAAATACTTAATCAATTCATCGAAACGCAACTGAGAGACAGTAAGAGACAGAGAACACCGTGCTCCCGTTTATCATCATTTCACATGCGTTTATTTGTATAGTATATAGTAAAATTGTTTGTTTTTTTTTCTTTGTTTTTTTTTTGTTCTTTTTTTTTTGTACCAATAATAACCTATCACATAATTCATTTGATTTGTATGTATTTAAATTGCTTTACTTGACGTTAATATTATGAAAGAAGAACAAATGAAAGAAAGTATTAATCGGACGAAAAAAATCGAAATTAATTAGAGATGAAAAAAGTGAAATCATTGATTTCAAATCAAACCCGAGAAGAATAAACAGCGATGAGCGAAATTATGAATTTTTCGGAAGGAATATTAGTGAAGACCCGTCAGTTTATGTGCAAATAAAAACAGATTAGAATATAATTATGCGAGAATCAATATCAATTTACAAAGAGAATAAAAGTTGAACGAGATAAAAACAAAACATGTTACGATCATCGTCATGCGCTAGGTTAGTCACGTCTTAATTCATAGTTTATTCACAAATCACACCAAATAGAGAAAAAAAAAACACAACAATAGCAACAGCATAAATAGTTAATCAAAGCACATTAGCTTAACTTGATCATATTTACAGCAACGATCACAAACAGACACTAGTACAAACCTGATGAATTTCTTCTAAATGACAAATACAAGATGCAAAAAAAAACACAATTGATACTGGTCAAACCAAACCGAGTTATTTCAACATCAAAGACATTCCATTCACAATTTTTCATTGCTATGCCAAGCAATAAATAACAAACAAAAGAATGGAACTTGATCCAATTCCAAGAAATATAACAAACACTGACAATACATTCCAAAGGGATACAAAAAAAACACAAATTAAATGATTTGAACATTCGCAACAACGAGCTAATTCTTCGTAGTCAACGCTAAAATATTATTGATATTCAAATACAAAAATTTCCCTGCGAAAATCAATAACGGCTAAAAAACAACTTCAAACGAACATTAATACTAAACGCTATAAATGACCGTAGGTGTATGCAAACGAAGGAAATAAAAGCCTTTAATCAATGTGCAGAAGAGTCTCCTCCTCTGTTTATTCTTTGTTTCACCCTATCTACAAATTAACTCCATTCACAATGACGTCGCAGTTATTATTAATTCGAAACGATTGATTCTATATTTTTTTCCTTCACCTCTTTCTATGTTAGATCATAGGATTGATTCATTGTCATCGTCGCCAAAACCACTGAACAGACGATTCGATAACGAATCACACGCTAATTCACCTAAATTAATAGTATTGAATTATGCCGGATTTGCAATAAAAAAAAAACTACATGTCATATAAATCTATTTATTAATGATGAAAAAAACAAACAAATAAATTGCGAAAATTAAACCAAAGCAATTGATTCGCAGTCCAGAAAAAGCCTCATTCTGCAATCGAATCGATTCGAGCGACGCAATCGGATATTTGATTCCATCAAATCCATTCTTATTTCACACTTACCTCGAATGACATTCGATTCCAATGAGATATTTGTTTCGTTTTTTTTTTGTCTCTTGCTAATTTTTACTAAGTTTATTCCAAATACATATTATATTATTTAACTCGAAAATTTCGAAAATAAAAACAAAACCACGCAAAACCGATTATAACGATTTATTATCAAATAAACCAAATATTAATTTGCATACGACAAATTATGTTCAACACATTTCATTCTTTTTATTTTATTTTCATTTTGATTATTTTTCTACCTAGGGTGAGAATATGAGCCTTATATTTAGGATGTGAATGAATTTCGAATTTGGTGTTTCGCACAGATGTGTTTCGCCCGTGATTACTCGTCGGCTTCAATTAATTTTGGCTGCAGTTCCACTAGTTTAGCATCCATTTCTTCTATTACTTTGCCACGTCGCTTCGATAGATCGTTGAAATAGTTTCGTCGTTGCTCAACTTCTAAGATCATTTTCTGCAACAAATGTAAATCAAGCGAATGTTTTCAAATTATTCATTCATATTGAATATGGAAATGATTAATAAAGTTGAAATTACAAAAAATGGAGAAAGTGTGAAACTCATTGAATGACAAATTCAAGTTGTAATTGATTCGGAACAATCGGAAGAACCAATGATTATTACCTGCAACTCGTTCGACTGTTCACTGAGAAGTTCTCGCATTTTTAGTAAATGTACCGACATCTGACGATTGCGACTGTGCTGGGTCTGTTGTTCGGCCGTGTGCCCATGTGCACGCCTGCGAATACAAAATCATTATCAGTTGTTATTTGTTGGTTTTGCTTTTTCCACTTCAAACGATTTTTTTTTTTTGGATTAAATTTGCTCAATTTGTCGATTTGATTGGATTCAATGGACGATTTTATTTTTGTTACCAACCATGCTTTTTCATTGGGCCCCTTTGGTTTGTGTTGTTGCTTCAGTTCATTCAATTTCGTCAGCCGTTGTTCCAACTGCTTTGTTTCCCACAGTGTATCGAATTCTTCGTGCCATTTCTTAATCATATCCGCCTTAAATTTGTCTTCAAATTGCTTTAGTTTGAGTGTTTTATTCGTTGGTTTTATAATATCATTCAAACTGGTCACCAATTTGTCGCTAAAGAAATGCCATTTTCAAATCGAAACAAATATATCGTTATGTTTGTGAAATAAATGTCACACATTCGCACAAAAAAAAAATTTATTCCAAAATGTATTTACCTCATTTGATTAACGAACGGTGTGCAAATTTCATTGAATTTCGATTTTATTTGTTGAACACTTTTCGGTTCGTTTTCCATGTTTACCCGTACAAAAAAAAAAAACACGCCGAAAATACCAGATTTGCAAAGAACAAAAAAAATTACGTTATTCAGCCCTAAAATTGGTTTGAAATGAAATGTCAAACTATAAGTTTGTCATGATGCGAATGTGACCCGATGCGATTATATGTGTGTTTGTGTTGCCAACATAATGTTCAAAAAATGCATGACATGCAACACTAAGAAATTGAAACTGATGAAATAAAAATGGCGATAGAAATGCCAAGCGTGCGAGATAGAGAAGGAACGAGGTCGTTTCAACATACAACGTGTACCGATGGCTGTCTCGTTCACACGTTTGCCGCTCTCACACCGAACCGTTCGTTCTTTCTTCGTGTGTGTGTGAGTGTGTGTGTGAGTGTGTGTGTGTGTATATTGCGCTTCAACACGGGCTGATCGACATCATGACTAAAGAGCGCGCTCATACTTATACACACATATACAGGCGCGAGCGCACGCACACACCAATTTCATTTCTTGTGTAAATTGAATTGGGTTCACGTTGTGAAAATTTTCTCTCCATCACATGTATCGCTGGCTAACCGATAGTTTGCTAAGCGGCACAATCAAGTAAACCATAGTAGCGAGACCTATTTCGTTCTCTTTCTAGCACCCATTCTTCCATACACACGACGAAGAGATATACGAGCATAATATACACACTGGCAAAATACGAACACATTGAAAGCGATTGCGTTTGAAAAATGCTAAGTAACTCTACGACTAGTTAGTACTTCTGCGCTGTTCAATTCTGTGTGTTTATACTAGTAAGTACCAAACGCAGTTTATGTGTACGAAAAAGCCAACGACTATTATTATTATTTTTTTTTCGCTTCGTTTTACTATCCATATTATCGATAGAGCATAATTACAAAGAGTTTTAGTATTGTCCATATTTTGTTCGTTTTGAAAACGACGACATCAACGACGACCACGACGAGCAAGAAAGGAGAACGAACGACAGAAAAGTACGAGCGAAAAAAAAAATACCGAACTGTTTCATTTTGATATATCGTTGTAATCGATTGTTGTTATTGTGCGTGTTTCATTACGTACGCTGAGACAGTATATTAGGCATACGCTGTGTATGTGTAGAAAGTTCTGCTTCGATTAGAAATAATTTCTAGTATACGCTAGTTGTGGAGTTGCCTTTCATCCATCGTATAATCGAATTCGACGGAAAGGAGCGGAAAAAGACAAAACACACGAGAGAAGAAAAAAAAATACCGATCGACCGACCGCAGAATTTCATTTTGAAGTAAGGGCACCATACATACGAGTAAAAAAGACAACCAATTTCCAACACCATATACACATATTATTCTATTTTGGAGTCGGGAAAATACACGACCGATTTTGTAGAATAGTGGATAGATAAATTATTTAAAAGCAATAGCACGACCATTTCGATAACAACAACAACGAAAACGACGACGACGACAACAGCAACAGCAACAGAAAACTACGCGGAAAATAATCGAAACCGACAGTGAATCAAATATTCGTTCGTCTCTCAGTGTATTTTCTCATGATATTATTCATCTCTTTTGTACCCGTGTTCTTCAGTATTTTCTGTTAGTTTTTTTCTCTCTTGTTTTCTTGCCTCTTACCATTCTACCTGTTGTCTTATTTTCGATTTTGACGGTGTGTCTGCATACTTTGTGTGTTTCTCTATCTATCTGTGTGTATTTGGCCACTAGTTTGCCTTCAAATTTTGGTTTTTCCGTTTTTCCTTTATTTCTACCAAACATTTTGTTCATTTTTCGTTCGTTCGTCCTTTCTGCTCTGGCCGCCTTCGGTAATTTCGATATTACGGCCCGATTGACAACGCGCGCGCATACATCAAAAGAGAAAAAAAAATCCCATATACAATACACAATACAACAACAACAACCATATTTTTTTCTTCGCCAGGTTTTAACTCTATTTTTGAGACTCTCTCTATCTATTTACTAGACACATACGGCAAACTAACAACGGTAAGCGAAACATTCCATTCTACATTTTTAAATAATTTATTTATTCGTTGAAACAGACGCAAAACGATACCAAAGAATTGAAAGAAGAATAAAAATCTAACAACAACAACCACAGCAATAACAGGCATTGTATTGAAAAGAGTTCCCTACAACGTTAGAACAATGACAGTAATGATAACTCTGTCCATATGAATGCGAGACGCAATGTACTAGAGAGTCTCAGAGAGAAACGACGATGTAGGGAAAAAAAACCAAACTAAAAAAATAGAGAAAAAAAGAAGAAATGAAGCGGGCTGCACAAACACCGCATATCGTATACAAATATATTTAATAAATGAAAAACAAAATAAGACCAAGATGAACAAGCAAACGAACGAAAGCAAATTGCAAACAAACAAAATGATCAATCGATAATATTATGTGATGTGCTGTTATTATTCCATGGGTAGAGAGAAATTTGTCGTGCGACTATGGTTGATATAGTTTTCATCGATTGTTATGTGTTTCCCATGACTTTGTGTGTCTATCGGCCACGCCGTCACCGCTTTTATCGCTCGCAACACACACACACACATATCTCTATCATTACAGCATGTATCGAAATATTGTATTTTTGTTCGAGCCGGGGCATATTAAAAGTTTGAGCTCAAACTACTTCGATGAATATCGACAGGCCCAAACGCTATATAATTGCCCGTTTGAACATTATTCATGGTATGACATTTTCCATGAACTCAGTAAACATTTCAAATTTTCATCGTATTTTCCGTAAATAATATCAGCCAGGAACGAGTCATACAACAAAACTTGCCACCCCAAACGATATATTATGTATGTATGTGTCCACACCATTCAATGTGCTGAATCCTCAAAAGTGATCCCTCCTCATTGGCTGTCTTTTAATTTCGGGCGAACTAGGGTAAGCGAGCGAGCGAACGAGAGACAGAGACAGAGACAAAGAGTGAGAAAACTTTTCTAATGAATTTCGTGAGCATCGTAAAAATCAAATTAAACAATAATTTGTTTGGATTCTTTGAGTCAAGTGAGTGAACAAGGGAGGGAGGGAGATAGGGAGGGAGGTAGGTAGAGAGATTGTTGTCCATTTCGGTTGTCAACAGATTTTAATGAAGTTAACGCACATTCTGACGGTAGTCGTCACACACAGATTGCCTATGTGTTGATGCTGTTGTTACGCAGTTCAGTATGCATGCAATGAATAACACTAACTTCATAACTTCCCATACTTAAATGTACGTACTTTTTGCCCATATCCATAACATGTCTGTCAAAGTACATTTGGCTTTCTGTGCCGTTTTACAGTATTCACACACTCAGTTGAGTAGTGAATACACTCAGCACAACTTACTCTTGAACTGTGAACAATGCCTCCTTTTCTGTCTCTAGTGTCACGTCTTCTACACGCTCTCTCTCTCTCTCTGTTTTGCTCCCTTCCTCTCAGTCTGTCTTCCGTTAACTTCTTTCACTCTCCGGTCGAGTAGAGTTCAACAAAATCAAAGAATTCCTTCTCTCATATTCCCTGTGTGAACCATGAAATTTTATGCCAATACAAACTGTAATGAAGTCAACGCGAGCGCGAAATCAGAGACCGGGAAAACCGTTTGTAAACGATACAGAGACACACACAAAAAGGGCCTCATCACCCTACTTTCTAGTCGTTACCGTTGTTATCTCGATGATCACAGCCGTCGACACATTCCAAAATGGTTTTGAATGCGTCTATCATTCTATCTATCGAGTTTTTTTTATTGCTCTATCTCTTTCTCTGTCAATGGGATTAACATGTATGATGGTGCAAAATGAATTTGTCAACTGAGAAATGTACGTTTTAATTGCAGCACATTTCACGATTTCAAACGAAATTTCGAAGAAAAAAGCCGAATAACGATTACGACGACAACGACAAAGACAACGACAACGACGATAGAGAGAAAGATGAGAGAATTGAGAGAATTGAGAGAAAAAAATAAACAGCCGAACCAAACCGCTGAGGAATGAATCATATACACGATTTAATCGTAAACACCATCGAATGAGTGGGCTGCGAGAGCGTGTAATCGCCGATACGCGCCTGTTCGAAAATAGAGTTCTCAAATTCGCTAAGTTTATTATAACTGTTTTTCGTGTAGAATCGTTGAATCGAAGCAACAGCAACATCAGCATCCTCTCAACAAGCATACACTCTCGCTGCATGGAATAATATCTGGTTTTCGGTTGCGGCTTTTGAATATTGCACATTTTCTTGGTCTTTTTCTCCGATTCTATCACTCTCACTCTTTCTTTCTCTCTCTCTCTCTCTCTCTCTCCCTCCCTCTCACACACACTCGCTCGGTTTATGTCTGTTTGTGCTTTTCGGTTTTTTGTTTGCTTTATCGGTGGTTTTGGGATTGAGGCGACAATTGATGCCATGGCATTTCAAACAATTATGAATATGGAAAAATGCGGTTTAGAAAATTTGCATTGGATTAATGTTGTTGTGAAAGTGTTTGTGTGATCTGATTTAGATTTGCGTAATACTCGATGTGTGATACACATACCGAGCGTTTACTTATTATCGCTCACAACGTTAAAATTTACACGTTCACTTATAATCCGATAACGAACAACAAATGGCGCGCACATAATCACACGCACACACGACCGTTTGCTCAGTTGACAGAGCAGAAAGAGAGAGAGAGAGAGTGAGCGTCGTCTACTTCAACGAATCGATTCATTGTTTCAGAGCGCTCGGTACACGCAATTAGCTATTAATTACAAATTGAAGAGAATGAATTCACCCAAACCATATATACTATATATGTTCGACGACGAAGAGGGTGTTGAGCATACATTTTAGAGTTCTGATTTGAACGATGACGACGACAACGATGATGTTTATGTTTATCACGCGTTAAAATGTACATTCCACGTCGTCGTCATTCTCTTATTCGGCATCGTTTCATCATTTTCGGGCGTTGCTGCGCTGATGAATATATTCTAACACATTATTTTCACGTATATATATTTTTTTTATTAAAATCGTTATGAGGGCATTGATATCTTTTAATTTGTGTTGTTGTTGTTGTTTTCCTGTGTGAACGTGTGCTGTTGTCATCAACACAAATATGTACATACTAAAATAACTGTCGAAATTTAACACTCATGTGTTGCGCACAAGTCGCATGTTTACATTGCTATTTTGCTTTATGCAGCTGCAAAACAGCCAATAATAATAAAATATTATTTTTTTTTTCTCTCTCTCTCTCTCTCTTTCGCACTCGGCATATTCGTTAGCTAGCTCTTTGTTCGAAATACAAAAATCTTTTCTGTTTAGCACAAACAGAGAGGGAAAATAAATACCGTCCAACATTTCATTTTGGATATGAGAAATATTATCACGAGAAAGTTTTTAGTTGCACGTAATTGTTCTCGATATAAAATAACCGAGACCGACAACACAAAACTCCAATGCACAAGTTAAAGTTAAATATTACGAAAATATTTTGCATTTCTCTCTCTCTCTTAGTTTGACAGCAAACGAGAGAGACAGAGAGAGAAAGAGATAGAGAACAGGTGCAGAGCGCGGAGGGGCATGGGCGAGATCGTGTTTTTCTTGCATCAACAACTTCGAAATGGGCATTCTTCAAATTAATCATATACCAAATGCATCATATCAAAATGATTCAGTTCTAAAGAACTGAAATTTCATTTACCAACTTTGTTTTCGTCTTCAGAAAACTCTGTTCAATGTTTGCGTTTTCTTTTTCTTACTCGCCCGGGCAACTTTTATACTATCGAAATTTGAGTCTAACATACAGCAAATTCTTTCCAGTTAGTTCTTATTTACAAACAATTGATATCAATCTCTTTTGTTATCGCCTTCCGTTTATTTCGCCAATTTTTAGCATTGACTTCAGCAAATATAGGTCACCATCAGTCGTAGCTCTGTGCTGTGTTCGTTGAAATTTGAAAAAAAAATGCAAATGTTCACGACGCATGGGCGTCGATGAAAATTTTTTCTTCTTCGAAATTCATTGGAAACTGTAAGCCATATCCATTTTGATCATGATTCAACCAGTTTCCATTCAACAGCAACAACGAATCGGCTGCCTATCAAGAAATCTTGAAAATGTGCGCTTTAACAACATAAAGACCGATCGTTTGTGCAACCTGTAAACAATTTCGTGATTCGTTTTGTTTTTGCATGCACATCGAAATTGCAGCGTGCTTTTCGATTACGCTGAACTGATGTTCATCATTCGATTCGTTCACCTGAACACAGATACTCAAACTCACACATATACGGCACTCAACGTATATTTGTACTTGAATAAAAAGTGGCGAAATGAATCTTACACACGACGCCGTTCGTTCGTCGTTTTGCGATTGAAAAAATAGTAGACGGCAACAACAAGACAAACCGAATGCGATCGGTTCGTGTGACCAAAGGAATTTTTTGTGTTTGGGTTCGTTGCCTTATTTGTTATTTGTTTGTTTGCTTCCTCATCTCTCGGGGGCAACTGTTGTTTCATGCCGCATTTGTTTACGTTTATTTGTCGGTTGATTTGGTGAAATTGCCAAAAATGGAAACCCGTTTTCAGTTCAAATATGGCTTTATCGGTATACAGCACAAAAATGCTGTTACCGCTGTAAACATACAACGTGATGTGCCGGCTCGTTTTTTGTTTTGTTTTGTTTTCGTGTGTGTGTATCTATCGACTGACGAAAAAAAAACACCATATCCATAACAGATTCACATATATGGTGGCTAAGAAAATCCAAATATGGTAAATGATACAAGTTTGTGTGTTCTTTTTGGAATATTCATTCAATTAAATCGCTAGACAGGTGGTTCTGTGCGTGACGACCACGCCAAATCCAATTGAACCGTTTATCGCAATTTTCCCATAATGCCATATAGTCGTACATATTGAGTGTTATTATCTAATGAGCATTGCGCTTCGTATTCAGTCAATGCAATTAATAGTCAAATAAATTAATAT